ACTGAAAATTTCGAACGTGTTCACTGAAAGTTTTGAACGTGAAGCAAAATGTGCCGGCCATATGGTAAACTAATTGTATTACGACGCCTTAAAACTCGTCTGCCGCTCACCGTTGGTGGCTTGTAGTTCACAGATCGCCTTACAATTCCCTTTAGCAAAGAGATCAGGCGTTATTGTGCTCGTCCAACTTCCGTATGGCGCTTCAACCGACATTCTTCGGATGCCAAGCTGGATAAACGAGAAGAAGGCACGAAGTACAATCTGTAAACAAGTAGAAAGTAGAGCGCATTCATAAAACCACTAAAATAGAATGAATGTGATCGAAATATACGCCAGTAAGGAACGTAAGCATACGGATACTTAAACAGAGCTTCATTAAAAAACATGTATGCAGAAAAATGGCATTTTTGCAGGAATCAAAACGGTTCTATTTAATGCTGTCAATATTTCCAAATCTGCCCCGGAGCCCAAAAAACCTCTCTTTTTTCTCATGAAAAAGCACCCGAAAGATTCCCAAAACGTCCTCAACTCAAGATTGTTCCCAAAGAATTTTTAGGACTCTTCCACACGAGTAAAGAAAAAACCGACGTGATCTTGAGCTATAAAACAACGGACTGCAGTGACGAAGCCATCGCGTGTATCGCATATCGTTTCAATGATCACCTATTTGTTTGGACGGGTGCCACTAACTGTTCAACTGGCCCATGACGCGAGTCAGTACAGTTCAGTGGACTCTACTTGCTCGGAGAATGGACTACATTTGACTGAAATCAATTTCTCCGCTGAGCTTTCGTGAAAAGTCTGACCCTCTTCCTGGCAGCCGTCCAGGAATCGTTTAACGCAATGAAGCGATCCATTAAGCAACCTCCTTTGTCCACGGCCACGGTCACCAAACCGCATGACGTGTACGGCTCACCTGATCTTCGATTCCTCGACCTCTGTTGGCAGCGTTTGTGACAGCGTGCGTGATCTTCGGTCTAATGCCGAGGAATCAAGGGGTTTTATGAAATTTCTTCATTGTTCTTTCCAAAGTACATTGAAATGGGCCGACTATATTGCTCATCCTGCCTAAATAATGTGCAAATTTTGACGGAGCGGAGGTGCTGTGACTGCCGACCTTTCACTTCAATGTCTTCCCGATTTGTGTTAGGCGTGACGTAGTCGAGGGCAAAAACGCGAGAATTTGGGCAAGATAGTATCGCCCTTTCGATTCCTCGGACCTCTCCTCATGTCGACGATGACTTCCATTAGTATAATTTTAGACGTGAAGCTGATTAGGTATAGCACTTACGAAGAAAGTAAAGCAGAGCTATAGCTATAGAGTTTTTGGATAAACTGTTGAGCAATGACTGCTTTCATTGGAAGGCATCATCTAGTTTTTATTCAAAAAATTTATGTTAATTAATTCTAGTTTTTATTCGAAAAAGCAGCACGCCCAGATACAAGAATGAATGCGAATGTACAATGACCTCAGGAGAATAAACTAATCACTAGTCAGAGTTCGATATAATTTAATAGCTTAAAAAACCGAAAACCATGGTTTGCGCAGGAGATGACCGACTGTATTGTCCACCACGACGTGGTACTCATTATTATTGAGCACTGCTACTTTACATTATCCATACAAGTGATCGTGGCCAGAAAAGACCCTGCATTGAATGTAAACCGCACAATATGGAACAAACAAAGGAAACCGAAATTCCAGGGAGTTACGAAAGTATGAAGGTGAACACTGGTATCTTGGGGAACGATCTCGACTAAAAACCACCTTTGCCAACACCCTTGCCAATCCGATACGTAGTAGATCACGATCATATCGAGTGTAGTCAGTCTTCCTAATGACATTTTTCATTGAAATTCACACATTTTCGTGGCAAACACATCTAATACAGTACCAGACCTTTTGACATCACATTTCTACAAAATGAAACAAAGAGTTGCTTCTCTTTATCTTATTTCCTTCTATACCACACCTAGCTCCACCACTGCATCAAAACGTTGCCATCAAACCCTGCTGATACTCCACGATGAAACGGATCTTTCAGGCTCCACTCTCAGCCCGACACTACGAAAAGCACTTGTGACACCTCTATCGAATTCCTTTGACTTTTAGTCGATCAATGACTCTACAATGTGCCTTTTAGGACGGCTGCGCTTATTCCGCCACCAGTACAACATTTAGATACTACTAGGTGATTCATGAGCGAAAAATGACTTTGAAGGAACGTTGGTAAGTAGGCATTCCTCACTAGAACACAATACTTTATTTTTATGACGAAGGGATCCCTTTAAATGCACCTACGCATAAGCTCACTGTTTTCACATGAACTCCTCATTTTGTAGCTCCTACAGTAACCGATATGCTTGTACTAGCTATTGTCAATGAAAGAGTTCGCAAAGTCCGTCAGACAAATGGGTGCTTGAATGGAAGCCGGTTGTCGAAAGATGACAGCGGTCAGCGAACTGCCCTTCTGAGGCGCGCCAGACTCTCGTCTTACAATTAGTCCAGTACCGGATGATAAAGTTATCGAACTTATTCATCACTCGGAAGCATAGCACAGCAGTCCAATGACCCAGACGGGTGTCAGCAGTTCTACCACCTGTAGAAGAAATGTACCATGAAATCCCAGAATGCGCTGTTCCCCCAGTTCGATTACTTCTAGCAATTATATAGGATCGCTTAAAGCGAATGGGGCAAACATATTGAGGCAGCTGTAAATATAAGAAAAAACAAATGAAACGAAATAGTTATTCCAAAAAATTAAGCTCAAACTGGAAAAGGTCGAAAAAAAACGTCCTTCTGTTCCAAGCACTAATCCACTACATCAAGCAACTATTCCAACTCGGATTCTTTAGACTTGAAGACTGAAAGGGACGGGTACAAGGGGAATAGATAGACGGTAGACGATTGAAACAAATGGAGAACTACCTCGAATGTCAAAGAAAACTGTTACAAGGGCACCGTAATCACTTCTATGAGGTTATCTAGACAGTGTGCAAGCAGAAAAAAAGAAAAAAAAACCGTCGAAAAAATCTGTCCACCATCCCAAGAAGCCTGCTGACCTATAAATCACAATCTGACAATAATGGCACTGAAGGAATCATACAAAAGCCAACACCGAGCTTTCATTTGACATAGAACAAAAGAGAAGTATCGGTTTGGACACAATCGTTCCGAAGGGTCTTGTACAAACAGAAATCAACCTGCTCAAAGGCCTACCTTCTTTCCAACCAAAAAAATTATCTTTGTCAACCACTCGGCCTCCGCTCTTACCGCTGTTCTTTCTTTCACGTTTGGCCAAAAAAAGAAGTACGAAGAGCGTAGACTCGATAAACTTTAATCTACCAACAAAGTGTAATGAAGGCAATCAATAAGACTACACTTCCAATGATACGCTAATCAACGAAAACAGGCCACAGTGGCCGCGGAAAAACAAGTAGTGAACAGCCGGACAAAGACATACATGTGTAGAATTCCTTGCAGTATCAACATTCCGCTTCGAGGTATGGGAAATATTAGTAAATTTAGGAGTACAGTGTCCAAATCAGCACTTTCCTTTCAACGCTAGGCTCAATAAGCGTGTTCCTAACAGCGATGTGATCAAGCACTTCAGCCTTATCAACAAAAAAGCGGAATGTGATATTTCATTTCATACTTCTCAATCCCTCTCCTTCAACTCTGTGGTCAGTTCATGTTGCACGACAGATTGCGCAGGAAAATTTGGGAGACTCTTCGAAAAGTATAAGAAAAACAGAAAAACAGGAGTGTGATGATGAAGGAGCGGACGAATGATTACTAATTGGTTCATTGTAGCCGGGAACACACGAAAAACAACAAATAACAGTCTATGAATTCTAGCTAGGCATCCTGAGCATCGACTAAAACTTCCATTTGAACGTTTTTGTACTATACTGTTGTCAGCGACAATCATTCTTCCAAAGCAAAACGAGATTCCTAAACGCCCGACTGACACTGGCTTATTCACTCGGTGTGCATTCTTAGAGTCTGACGTGCCGGGTAAATCGCTATCGCAATTATTTCGTGAACAAACAACCCAATTCAGTGATAGCTCCCGGGTAAATAGTTGTAATAGACCAGTTACACCAATATAACACCCCTTTCCTCACTGTCGCCTTCCAAAAATTATATAATGAGCATCGCTTTGAGTCATGAAAACCCCAGAAATCTGTCATTCACTCTCTAACTCCCAGGTAAATAGTTGTAACAGATCAGTTGTAACAGATCGCCTTCAAACAACCAACTCGGTGATAGCAATGAAGTGAGAGATTTTGGATACTCCCCTTGAGTAGTAGGCATAAACATAGAGGATGTTGTATATGATGTAGACCTCTCAGAACTGTCGATTCCCACCAAGTTTTCCTGTTGCCAGTTCTGTTCACCCTATCCCTCCAACATTACAAATCATCAACGACGAGAAAAGTACGTCACAACGGAAATATAAAATGACTGATAACGATAATAACATGTATCGCTCGTATAAATAGCATTGAGGTATATAAATATTTATTGGAATTCAAAATTTAACAACATAACAACCTTGTGGAAATACTGATAAAACCGCTGCTTAGGTGGCTAGTTCACTGCATAGGACTGGCTGGTAAGTATAGAACAACATGGAAAGAGGTAGTTAAATATAATTACAGTGTAAAACACCTGCATGCGAGCCGTCACATCACTAAAACATCCATTGAAGGCACCCATATTAATTAAAACTGAACCCCACCATCAGTCCTGTTTTTCAAAAATCACAAGTGAGTGAAAACAAAACAGTGACAATCGAGAGAATAAGTAATTGCAGCATGAAGACTTATGATCAAGTTTGGATTATTATCGGACACGTCAAAAGTTCACACAATTGAGTATGAGGTGATACGCTGAGTGGACAATCAGTACTTTCAAGGTGTTAAAACTGGTCGACAAATTTACCGAATCAACAAGTAATCACTAAATTACTAAACATCTACAAAAAAACATTGACCTATTCGAATTTGATTCCCTGAGCAAGAGGGAGATCTTTGCTGAAGTTGATGGTACAAGTTGATCTGAAAGGAAGACTTAATAAATTGTTTCCACATAGAAAACATCGGCCACTAAAGCAACCCTCATCTAACTTATTCACAAAAGCATGCATTCCTGAATTTTCTAAGGGTGAGAATTCACGTACTACACGGTAATTCGTTAAAATCTGAAAGAAGAGAGAAAGGTCAACAAAACAACGGCCTAGATCTCAAACCTAAAATTACTAATATGAAGCTCTGAATATCACTGAATTGCATTTATTCATGACAGACTTGTTCGGGATAAAGTTAATCCGAATTTTGGTGCAAAACAATGCAGACTAACGATTGTCAGCAACACCACAAAAAAAATAAGAGAAAAAGCTATGAAGTTGAAGCTAAGTCTGAAGCTTTGAAGCTAACTTCAAGAGTACGCGATCGTACCTTCTCATGTATTGTTTCCAAGAGTCTGATCCTGATTCGCGACCACCCCCTGTCTCCTTTTCGCCGCCGAACGCTCCTCCAATCTCCGCACCAGATGTAGGAATGTTCACATTCACTATACCACAATCGCTTCCTTTTGGCCTGTAATGCAGTAATGCCTGAAGGAGGATCAAACCTTCACACAGCGCAATAAAAAGGTCATTAGAGCCTAGGAATATACCGGAAGTATTCCTGAACAAAAATTTCGAAGCAGTTTTTCGAATAAGAAAAGCGACAGTCGGAACGATGTTATGATAACGCCTTGTCAACACCTATTGACACACGGGTGTGCGAATTGAACTGAACCGTTTTCTCCATATCACACAAACTTTGATCAAAAAATATATTGAACTTATTGATGATGCGTGTAAATAGGACTCTCAAACCCGTTGAAATTGATATTGGAACTTTTTCTTTGAAAAAAGAACATTTTTTAATAGAATTTCCATTTTTTCAAAATGTCATTATCTTCCCTAAATGACAAGTTTTAACTCGATTAGTAACGAGTGCGGGCAACGTAATTACCGCGGAGTCTTCGCACCTTATTAAGGTCAGTTCGCGCCTAGGTGCGAGGCGAGCTTAATTAGGTGTGATCGAAAATTTATTCCCGTACTTTTGACCACTAAGGGACAGGTGGTAATAAGCTCCGTAACTGATGGAACCGGTAGAGGTGGCCTGATTAACGAGCTAAAAGTTGATGTCAGAGTGATGTCGGAGTTCAGGTTCATTGCCGCACCCTTTATAAGTTTTCGATTCTCACTTAAATTCTAAAATGTGTTCAGCGATAATCAAGTTGAATTTAAGCCGATGGCGAATTGATGCCACTTCCTTTGCACCTTTCAGGTTGCAATTTTTGTGCTTGTGACTTTTCATACAAAATAGTTCCGAGGGGTCATCGAACTAGACAGCGTGAACATCGCGTTAGATTGACGCTGCTTCGGACAAACTGAGAAAATTCGATTACACCTGTGAATTGACCAAGGGAAGGGGAGGGGATCTGAATAAGCAATATTTCCTTTTGATTATCTCGTTCCATTTTGTTTACTTCAGCTTATCGCGATAAACAGGCTGATGACCAATATTCAAGCGCAGTGACGTTGAAAATTCGAAGAGGCAGCGAAAATAATCGCCAACTTGTTTGGAAAAACTGACCACAAAGACTGTTCTCAAATAACCACACATAGAAATAGCAACAAAGAAACACTGCAAAAATCTTGCAACGACATAACATTTGCAAATTTCCTAACACACTCTTCCTGACATTTGAGATATAAGGAATCTCAGGCCTACTTTTTAATTCGCATACGGGCTGTGTGAAACAAAAACCATTTCTCTGACCCCCCCCCCCCCATAAACAGCCGAACATGGAATATATCAGACTTGTAGGAAGTGGGAGTAAAACATACCCCATCCATTTGAAGACGTTTTGAATGTTGTTTGTGAAAAGAGATGAGCTCAAACCCTGAGATGCCTGAAAATCCACCGGAAATTGAAAATAACACAAATCAAAGCGGCTGACTAACGTCTCAAGGAATAGAAATTCCTGACAATATTTTACAAGATAGCTATCTTAGCTAATCTTGTGCTTCACCTACCTCGTTGTTGTACTTAATGGCCTCATCCAAATTCTTCACTTTAATCACGTACATAATTGGTGCAAATGTTTCACGCAGGATCACGGGGGAATCATGAGGAAGTCCGGTGATGATTGTAGGGAGAACAAAGTTTCCTTCTCTTTCTAAAACCTGAAATGAACAAAACTCATTCAAAAATACAAAAAGGAACATAAATACTTTTCTATCATGCACGACACCAATCAAAGTGCCACATTGGGAACAATCTCATCCCTACAATTTCTACATCCTCTCAACTACTTTTTCAATGTTCCGTTGGGAATATTTCGCCGTAGTAGTTGACAGTGAACAGCTTTAATTTTAGCAAACGCTTAGAATACAGAAGACAAGTGTTCTTCTGCGTCTCCTCGCAGAATGATGTTTTGAAAAAAAAGGAAAATTCGTCCGAACGAAATCTTCTCAAGAAATCAATAAGAAAGGAGAGAGTCAGGGGCATTGTTTTGGTTCAATAGCAATGAATACGATGGTCTAAAAGAGATAGTACGTTCCCGGTGACATTCAGAATGACTGATGAACGTCTGCTTCAAGCGTTAGATAAGGGACCTTGCAGGTTCAGAAGCTGCACTTTCCCAACAATTTCACTCTGAAAATGGAAACCGCAAAAGATATAGGATCATAAACAACAAGAGCTCGTCCTCTTCAGTACATGGAGCTTAAAAATAACACGATTTCACGCGAATATTACCCATTTTTTAGTGTTTTCAACTTAGAACAAAAGTTTGTAAATCTAGACTCACTTTGCCTCCATATTCCACTTTACCGCCAGTGGCGATAGCTTCAGCTACAGTTGCCTAGAAAAGGTAGAAACAGTATTACCAGAAAATGAGAAGTATTTGCCTGGAAATGGAATTATCCTCACCTTGTACTTCATCACAGCAACTTCATTATGAAGTGGGCCAATAATGGTGTTTGGCTCAAGCGGATCGCCGATTCTTGACTCGAACTGAGCATACGCCCGCTTTACTCGATCAAGAACAGTGTCATATACTGCCTCGTGCACAAACAGGCGACGTGTAGTTGTACACCTCAACCGTTTCGTTATTTCGGTGAAGACTATGAATTACATCAATCAAAAGCTCTATGAGTCACCTCTGTCCAGCAGTACCAACAGCAGCAAATACCGTGGCTGGTACGACCATGTTAATGTCAGCATCGTCGTTTACGATGATTGCATTGTTTCCTCCAAGTTCAAGCAGGAGCTGCAGAATCAAAGTGCAGTTGATGACTAGAAATAGGAGTTAACTAACAATAGGACAGACCTTTCCAAAGCGCTGTTGCACTTGTTGACCGACGATGCGACCAACTTCTGTTGATCCAGTGAAGGAAACGAGGTTGACACGCTTATCTTTGACCAAAGCCTGACCAACGTCTCCCTGAAAAGTCGACGGAGGTTTTTATAGTGAGGTGCTGATAAGAGAACATTTTAGATCACTGCAAGTGATTACGTAATAAAATACAGCGGAATGAAAAATTACCTCTCCACAAACAAGAGAGCACAATCCACCAGGAAGGTCGTTTGCCCGCAGAACCCCTTCGACAAGCCTAAAATGTCAAATAACAACGACAGATGTCTTAATAATAAGTAAGAAGTTAGGCCAAGTTTGAAAGGCAAAACTCCTCCTTTTCAACTTACTTTGTGACAGCAATAGCGGTCAGTGGAGTTGAAGGAGCTGGTTTCCAGATTACAGAATTTCCAGTGACAAGAGCTAATGCATTATTCCAGCCATACACGGCACATGGGAAGTTGAAAGCGGAAATCACACCAACAACACCTACAAAACATCAGATAAACGTTTGTCATGTCAAAGACGGAAAGAAGGGCAGCATAACTGACCGAGAGGGTTCCACTGCTCAAGAAGTGCATGCCCTGGTCTTTCAGATGGTAGAATTGTTCCATTGAGTGATCGAGATAAACCAGTAGCATAATCACAGATATCAACATACTCTTGTACTTCTCCCACACCTTCAGCCGAGATTTTTCCCATTTCCATGGAAACCTGAAGGGAAGAAATCGCTAAGGAATATCACAGAACACTAGTAATACCGAACATTCTCACCAGTTTACCCAAGTTCTGAAGTTGAGAACGAAGTTTGTCCCCGATTTGTCGTACAACTTCGCCACGCCGTGGTGCCGGTACCTCACACCAGTGCTGAAAATCTCACAAGCTAATCGTTGAATAATAATGAACGTCTAAAGCTCATGTGATTCAGATGCCGAGAAGTTAGGTGACGCCAACATTTTGCTAATCAAAAGCACTTGACGAAGTCCGTGACTGCGCAAAGAGGAGGAGAAAATTCGTCACCCTTAAGGTCATACATGGTTGCACACAAACATTAAACAGAATTACCTCATAAGCCTTGCGTGCTTCTTGAACAGCTACTTCATAGTCGGCCACAGTACCGTTTTGAACCTAAAGAGTAATCATTCCCGATCTTCTTTGATAAACTGTACTCAAAATTAACTACTCCACAGTGACTTCGAGGAAATCTTCTTTGTTCCATGAAATTAAACCACATGTATATTCAGAATTGCGATAACTCAACATGTAAAAGCGAAAAAGGAAAAAAANAAAAAAAGCCTACGTTAGCTATAGGCTGGTTGTTAGCAGGACAAACGGACTGCACGACAGAACCAGAGGCAGACCACTTGCCATGGAACACGCCACAGTTATTTTCCGAAAGTCCGAGCTCCTTCAGAAAAGCGTACTTGCCGTCATTGATGAGGAAAGAGGCCATCCTGCGATTCTGGAAGATAACTCGCCGCGTAACGTTCAACGTTGCATTCATCAGCATAACTGCTACACAACAGTTGAAAACCTGAACATGAGACGATGCTAGACCGCAGCATACAGTTAGATAAAGATCAGTGCCGTATGGGCGAGAGATTGCAAAAGATACGAGCGGTTCATGGAAAGAAAAGAAAATGATAGGCCTAGAGCAGTGAACACCTACCGAGTTCAAATGTGATGATTTCGAGGGGTTGTTGTTGAGATTGGGACTGAGACTACAAAAATATGAAACAAAATGTTCGCTTAAGGCAATCTTTGAAAGATACATTGAAAAGGGAAAAACAAGTTTAAGAAAAAATATGGGAAAAGTGGCAATTTTTGCTTTGTCGCCGTAAAATCTACGGCTTTCGTTCACTATCACCTTCAAGGTTCAGCGCATTCGATAAACTAGAAAGTTCGAGCAGATTGCTGACTTTTAACACCGTGCTGCGACTGCATTTTTATGATAAGCACTCAAACTGATGACAAGTGGGGGCCTTTCTCATTGACCTGCGACTCGATCTCTGTGCTTGACCAAAAGTGTTAATGACCTCGTAAAATTTACTTCATCGTCAGGAGGATAGAATGAGTTTAATTTGCCAAATAGCTACAATAATCGTTATTACAATAACCGGCAAGCAATTAAAATCACGTTGTGACCGAATTCGATGTAGCAGAACATTTCTTAAAAAATCTTTGCCCTTATAAGGGAAGCCTCCATGATCATGACAATATTATGGTTTCTTTCGCTTTTTTTNTTTTTTTGATTGAGCCTCCGAGAGTGATAAGAAATTCATCAGCCGGTGTTTGGAAAAACATGGCCTCTGCGAGCCCTGCAAAGTCACAAGCACACTACAGGGCCACAGAAATGCTCTCACTTCAGGCCTTACACCCTCTGAAGAGAGCGATAAACTTGTTTTCAATCTCGGAGCCAAATTAAAAGTTACCCAGAAAGGAAATTTGTTGCTGCTGTTTCTGCATGCTCTTTTCTTGACATTGAGAGTAAGAGGAACAAGAAATTTTCCGCAATAAAAAACACAATGGAAACATCGAAAATGAGCTTTACAAAAGCAGAGAAATTCTCATGAGAATATAACATTAGTCGACCTTAAGTGTACTTTTGTAAGTGAAACAATAAAAGAAATTGGGTTGAGCCCACTGCCTTCAAAAATCCCAGCCCAATTTGTACCTAAATAAATTGGTGTTCAATGTAATGGAAAGATCCAGAACTAGGCGATGGAAATCATTTCAAGTTTTTCATTGAAAACCGCACATTGACTGAATAGTGGTAGTGGTAGCGAGGAAGACTGGTAATCAATCACTGAAATCGAATCGGGCAACAAATTCGGCCAAGTAGAAAATCAAAACATTTTTTTAAACGATTTTCTGACAACAGATATAAGGACACTAAACCAGAAAAATGTTGTAACATTTTAAATATGCACCGCAAGGGTGTCATAACTTTCCTCTTATTATTAGCCCACCTGGGTTAGGAACAGAAAACGAGGGTGTGACAGAAACAGAATTCAGGAAGACGTCAAACCTTAACCTCCCGTGGACATGCGATACAGTACCCCCTACTTATATCCCATCACGCACCCCGTGAGCCCCTCCCAGGGTACCTTTTTGTTGGTATATGTGGAGGGTTTGGAAGCGCTTGAGTGTTTGTTTGGGTTACTGTGTAAGACATTTGAAATCGGTCTTTTAATTCAGAGTAGGTGCATTTATAGCACCTGCTTTTTTACGCACACCTCTGCGTTTGTAAGCTTATACGCGCGTAAAAACGCACCTACTATGAATGTGCAAAGTGACCCTCCCTAGACCAAACAATATTCATTCCTTAGAAAATAGTGTCAAACTCGTCCGGGAGATCTGAAATGCGTAAGCGAAAAGGCGACTGACAGAGGAAACCGATCAAACCTTTGTCATTTTATTTTGTTTATGTGATTCAGAAGTATAAACGTGGTTGCCATAATAGCAACTTGAGTTGCTAAGGGACAGATTCTGCACAACGTTTCTGCCATGTAGTGAGAAGTTACTGGATGTTTCCATGTCAAAAAAACAGCATAGTAGACGCGGTACGATGAAGAAATGGACCGTACAGGTAGCCATCATCAGCTTAGTTCGCCAGAAACCAATTGCTTGCTTTGAACACTTTTTTATGTAATATTTAAGATTTCAAGCTGATGCTTCATTTAATCCGTTGTAGGTTAATTTACCTCAACGATCACACTACAGCAACACACTTAGGAAGCACAGATTGTGCGAAAAAATGGAAAAGCCACCAGCACAAAAGCTAAATTATGAAACGGATCTTATCAAGAGCTTCAACACTTTTTTCAACAAGTGCCTGCTCATCGCAACCACCTTCGCGTTCTGATAAGAACATCGACTTTTACGATACTTCACGAAGCAGGAAGAAGAAAAAAACAACTTTTGTGATAAGTACTGAGATTGAAACTTGCATGGCATTTGACTTTCAGCTGGAACACTCACGAAATGAGAATGACTTTCTGGGAAAAAAGTAAACACTGTTGACGTACCTGCACTATCTCTTACCACATCGTCTAGCCAGATCATCATAGCGCTCATGACTTCCCCATTTGGCTACTTTCAGAGTTCGACGACCGTCCGTCCGT